GCTTCTGGGGCAGCTGGGCGGGGCCGTCAGGGAACCACCGGGCCTCCTGGAAGCCTGGAGAGGGAGGGAAGGAGGTGGGCGTGCTAAGAGGTGACAAGGCGGGGCTGGACGTGGCAAACTTCAGAGGGAGCGTCAGGTTGTGACTTTGGTAAGGGGAGAAATGCCACCTCACCTTTGTCTGGGGTAGCCCTGCAGCCCGCACACCTGCTATGGCTCCCTACTGCCCTCGGAGAAAGCCCATCAAGGGCCCAGCCCATTGCCCCACAGCCCATTGCCCCACAGAACCCCAGACCCACTGTGTCCATCTTGGTGGTTGCCAAAGCACCTCGTCTCTTTTGCCTCTGCTGTGGCCTCTGCCGGAGATGCCTTTTGATTCTATAAATTCTAGCTCAAGGGTCCCTCCTCCAGGCAGCCCTCCCTGCTTTACTTCTGGGCACCCAGTCTCCATCTGTCTCTGATCCCAAGGGGCTAGGGGCATCTGCGTCCAGCTTTTCACCTCCTGGGCCCTGTATCTCCCTCCCCTGCAAGTTTTTACAGCAGCTGCCAGACAGAGGCCACTGTGGAAAAACAATGACTAATCACAGTAGGGTGGGCAGCTTTCACTGCGAGCCAAGCCCTCCTTCATACTCACAGCAGCCCATTTTGTAGATGGGGAAGATGAGGCCTCTGGGGGCTGACTTTGATGGGGGTCGGGGAAACCCTGAGGCACGGTCTCCACTCTGGAAGGGGCTAAACTCTGCTCCATGAGGGGCGGTTTGAATCCATCTCTTCACCTCCAGCTAGGGCCTCAGGTGGTTTGAGTGTCCGTGGACTCAGTTTTCCCATCTGTGAAATGGGGCAGGTGAGAGACTCTCCGGGAATTGGTGGAGTCAGGGGGTCAGGATGATCAGCAGGAGGCCGTGACTCTCCTCTAATCTCTCCCTGTTTTCTCCGGCTTTCTTGTTATTTTCTGAGACAGGGTCTTGCTCTGTGGCCCAGGCTGGAGTGCAGTGGTGCAATTAGAGCTCACTGCAGTCTCGACCTCCCTGGTTTAAGCCATCCTTCCGCCTCGGCCTCCCAAGTAGCTGGGACTCCAGGCGCCTGCCACCAAGCCCAGCAATGTTTTGTTTGTTGTTGTTTGTTTGTTTGTTTGTTTGAGACAGTCTTGCTCTGTTGCCCAGGCTGGAGTGCAGTGACAAGATCTTGGCTCACTGTAACCTCCACCTCCCGAGTTCAAGCGATTCTCCTGCCTCAGCCTCCTGAGTAGCTGGGATTACAGGTATGTGCCACCACATCCAGCTAATTTTTGTATTTTTAGTAGAGACAGGGTTTCACCATGTTGGCCAGGCTGGTCTTGAATTCCTGACTTCATGATCCGCCTGCCTCGGCCTCTGAAAGTGCTGGGATTACAGGTGTGAGCCACCACACCTGGTGCAAATTTTTTGTTTTGTAGAGATGGGGTCTCACCATGTTGCCCAGGCTGCTTTTGAACTCCTAGTCTAGAGCAATCCTCCCGCCTTGGCCTCCCAACGTGCTGAATTACAGGCATGAGCCACCCTGCCTGGCCTCCTCCGTCTTTATGTATGTCTGTAACTCCGTATCTCTGTCCCTCTCTCTGTCTCTGCCCCTCCCCCAGGCCTCACACATCCATCTCCCAGCTGACCCTGGCCTGGGCCCTGGCGCCAGAGAAGGCCGTTCTGTATGGGGTCACAGGGTCCCCGTCCCCACTGTGCCAGGCCCAGGACACTGAGTCTTTGTCCCCAACTCACTGACCTCATAGCCTGCCAGGCGCCTGACCCTGCCCAACCCAGCTGCTCCTTGGGGCCAGGCTTCTTGGAGGAGGGACGTCTTCCCAGGAGGTTGAAACGCATGGCGTGACCCTGCCTGCTCAGGCCTCAGTTTCCCCAGATGCTCACCCCCAGGAGAGACCCTCCCCCTCTCCCCGCTCACTGCCCAGGACTCTGAGAATATTTCTTTTTTCTGTAGTTGATGCACCTCACATAATCTAAAATTCATCCTTTTTTTTTTTTTTTTGAGACAGGGTCTCCCTCTCCTGCCTAGACTGGAGTGCAGTGGCGCGACCTCGGCTCGCTGCAACCTCTGCCTCCCGGGTTCAAGCGATTCTCCTTCCTCACCCTCCCGAGTGGCTGGGATTACAGGCGCCTGCCACCACGCCCCGCTAATTTTTGTATTTTTAGTAGAGACGGGGTTTCTCCATGTTGGCCAGGCTGGTCTCGAACTCCTGACCTCAGATGATCTGCCCGTCTTGGCCTCCCAAAGTGCTGGGATTACAGGAGTGAGCCACCGCGCCCGGGCGGAAATTCATCATTTTAAAGCAGACGATTCAGTGACATTTAGCACATTGACAGTGTTGTGCAACCAGCGCCTCTCCCTGGTTCCAGAACATTTGCATCACCCCAAAAGGAAACCCCGCATACATCAGCAGTCACTTCTCACTCCCGCCTCCCCCCAAGCCCCTGACAACCACTCATCTGCTGTCTGCCTCTGTACATTTTCCTATTTTGGGTATTTTACATAAGTGGAGTCATACAATATGTGCCTTTCCTGTCCATCTTCATCCACCCAGCGTGATGGGGTTTTTTTTGTTTTTGTTTTTTTGAGATGAAGTCTCACTCGGTCACCCAGGCTGGAGTGCAATGACAAGATCTCTGCTCACTGCAACCTCTGCCTCCCGGGTTCAAGTAATTTTCCCTGCCTCAGCCTCCCGGGTAGCTGGGATTATAGGCACATGTCACCACGCCTGGCTAATTTTTGTATTTTTAGTAGAGACAGGATTTTTCCATGTTGGCCAGGCTGGTCTCAAACTCCTGACCTCAGGTGAACCGCCCGCCTCGGCCTCCCAATGTGCTGGAATTACAGGCGTGAGCCACGGCGCCCAGACAGCACGATGTTTATTAGGGTTCATCCACGCGGTAGCTTGCATCAGATCCTCTCCACTGACATTTAGAGGCTTTGCTGACAGTGGGGAGGGAAGGGCAGGAAATGAAATACTCAGAGGCTAAGAAATGAAACATGGAGAAAAACTAAGTTGCACGTCTTAAATTTTTTTTTTTTTTAAAGAGACAGAGTCTTGCTCTGTCATCCCAGCTGGAGTCAGTGGCACCGTCACGATTCAGTGCAGCCTCAAACCCCCTGGGATCAAGCTATTCTCCATCCTCAGCCTCCTGAGTAGCTGAGACTACAGGCGCACGCCACCATGCCCAGCTATTTATTTATTTAGAGATGAAGTCTCGCTCTGTCGCCCAGGCTGGAGTGCAGTGGCGCCTTCTCGGCTCACTGCAACCTCTGCCTCCCAGATTCAGGCGATTCTCCTGCTTCAGCCCCTTGAGTAGCAGGGATTACAGGCACGTGTCACCATACCCAGCTAATTTTTGTACTTTTAGTAGAGACAAGGTTTTACCATGTTGGCCAGGCTGGTCTTGAACTCCTGACCTCAGGTGATCCACCTGCCTCGGCCTCCCAAAGTGCTGGGATGACAGGCATGACCATTGCACCCAGCCTAACTTTTTATTTTTTCTAGAGATGGGGTCTTGCCATGTTGCTCAGGCTAGCCTCAACTCCTGGGCTCAAGTGATCCTCCCACCTCGACTTCTCAAAGTGCTGGGGTAAGAGGTGTGAGCCACTAAGCCCAGCCCTAAAGTTGCATCTATTTTTTTTTCTTTTTTGAGACGGAGTTTCGCTGTTGTCGCCCAGGCTGGAGTGCAATGGCGTGATCTTGGCTCACTGCAACCTCCGCCTCCCAGGTTTAAGCAATTCTCCTGCTTCGGTCTCTCATGTAGCTGGGATTACAGGCATATGCCACCACGCCCAACTAATTTTTGTATTTTTAGTAGAGACAGGGTTTCACCACATTGGTCAGACTAGTCTCGAACTTCTGACCTCAGGTCATCCGCCCGCCTCAGCCTCCCAAAGTGCTGGGATTAGAGGTGTGAGTCAGCAAGCCCGGCCTAAAGTTGCATCTGAAGGAAAAAAGTTATGAGGATCCAGGTGCACAAGGCTGGAGCTTGGGATATGGGGAGGTGGGCATTTTGGGGGGCCAGCACGCTGCAGGCTCTTTGTAGTATTTGTTGGAAGGATGAACTCAAGCCATCCAAGAACACTGCTGTCCTTTCGTTCTTGAGTCTCAGTCTCAGAAGCTGGCTAGATGGCCAGGTGAGGTGGCTCACGCCCGTGATCCCAAGGTGGGCAGATCATATGAAGCCAGGAGTTCGAGACCAGCCTGGGCAATGTGGCAAAACCCTGTCTCTACAAAAAACACAAAAATTAGCTGGGTATGGTGGTGCATGCCTGTAGTCCTGGTTCCTGAGGAGGCTGAGGTAGGAGAATGGCCTGAATCAAGGGAGGTTGATGTTGCAGTGAGCTGTGATTGCACCACTGCATTCCAGCCTGGGCCGCAGATCAAGGCCGTATCTCAAAAGAAGAAAAAAAAGATTTTGGCAGCCACGCATGGTAGCTTACACCTGTAACCCCAGCACTTTGGGAGCCTGAGGCGAGAGGATCTCTTGAGGTCAGGAGTTTGAGACCAGCCTGGCCAACATGGTGAAACCCTGTTTCTACTAAAAATACAAAATTAACCGGGTGTTGTGGCAGGTGCCTGTAATTCCAGCTACTCAGGAGGCTAGGGCAGGAGAATTGCTTGAACCCAGGAAGCGGAGGTTGCAGTGAGCGGAGATCGCACCACCCCAGCCTGGGGGGTTCCATCTCAAAAAAAAAGAAAAAAAAAAAAAAGAATTTGGCTAGAGAGGGCCAGGGAGCTGGCCACCCGCATGGAACCACAGGTAGCCCATGAGGCTGGCACCTGGGCATTCTGGTCAGATCTGGGGTCAGCAGGACAGAACCCCTAGAACCCCGACTTGCCCCAAAGGAGTTTGTGGCTGCTACCATCACCACCACCACCGAGCTGACTTCCTGGGTTTCTCTTTCACTTTGACTTGCCCTAGGGATGAGCTGTGACACTTATTCTTTTTTCTTTCTTTCTTTCTTTTTTTGAAATATTTTTCCCTTGCTCAGCTTCAAATGTGTTCCGGAGTGGGGACCGGGTGGCTGAACCTCGCTGGTGGCAGAGAGGCTCCCCTGCAGCTTCGGGGCTCCACGTGGATCCGATGTGGCCGCTGGTGACCTGGAGGGTCCCCCTCCTCCCCCTCCTCCTCCTGCTGTTCAGGCAGGGCGGTGAGTCCCCCCACCCTGGCATGGCGGCTTCTCTTGCTGGGGGGAGGCGCATGTGTGTGTGGAGAGCTGCGGGCCTGCTCTGTGGGTTGGTTTCATCTCTCTGTGCCTCAGTCTTTCCTTCTGTCACACAGAAGATGGGCAGCCATGGCTTCTGGGATCAAACTTAGATATCTTTTCTCTGGTCTTGATTTTTCTCTTCTATGAAATTCACGAGGTCTTGATTCTTCTGTGAAATTCACTAGGTCTTGATTTTCTCTTCTGTGAAATTCACGAGGTCTTGATTCGTCTGTGAAATTCACGAGGTCTTGATTCTTCTGTGAAATTGACTAGGTCTTGATTTTCTCTTCTGTGAAATTCACGAGGTCTTGATTTTCTCTTCTGTGAAGTTCACTAGGTCTTAACTTTCTCTTCTGTGAACTTCACTAGGTCTTGATTTTCTCCTCTGTGAAATTCACTAAATCTTTTCCACCTCTCCTAGTTAAATGAGAAAAGAAACGAAGGAAGGAATAAAAAGCAAGTATGTATCTAGTAGGTATACATAGGCTAGTATCTTATATATGTAGTTTAGAAGAGATAGACATACATAATATAGTGTATACAGTCAGCTCTCTCCGTATCTATGGGGCAGTGGTTCTAGGACCCTCTGCAGATACTAAAATCCAAGGATGTTCAAGTTCCTGATATAAGATGGTAAAGTATTTGCATATAACCTACGCACATCCTTCTGTATATTTTATTTATTTATTGAGACAGGGTCTCACTCTTTCACCAGGCTGGAGTCCAGTGGTCTGATCATGGCTCTCCATAGCCTTGACCACCTGGGCTCAAGCGATCCTCCTGCCTTAGCCCCTTCAGTAGTCGGGACTGCAGGTGCACACCACTATGTCTGTTTAATTTTTTTTGGTGTGTACTTTTTGCAGAGACAGGGTCTCACCGTGTTGCCCAGGCTGGTCTCGAACTCCTCGGGTCAAATGATCCATCCATCTCAGCCTTGCTAAGTGTTGAGATTACAGGTGTGAGCCACCGCGCCTGGCCTTGCCAAATACTTTAAATCATCTCAGGCCCAGCGCAGTGGCTCACTCCTGTAAGTCCAGCACTATGGGAGGCCAAGACAGGTGGATCACTTGAGATCAGGAGTACGAGACCAGCCTGGCCAACATGGTGAAACTCTGTGTCTAGTAAAAATGCAAAAATTAGCTGGGCATGGTGAGTCATGCCTGTAATCCCAGCTATTCAGGAAGCACACTTGTCCATTCACCCAGAATGCCTTGACAGCCACCCTGTGCCAGGGCCTGGGCATACCACTGAGAATGCCCTCTGGAGTGCATGACCCATCCCCAAAGACTCACTCCCTTCTCCTTGACCAACAGGAGAGGCTTCCACAGCCAGGACCTGCCCCCAGGAGCCTCTCAGGGGTGAGTACTTGGGGCAAGGGGTAGGGAATAAGAGGCTGGGACCAGAACTCTGAGCCTGGGGGGTGGAGGATTCAACTCCGGACTAATGGGTTCTACACTGGGGATCGGTGGATGTCCCACATAGAGGCTATCATGCTAGGCTGGGGCACTGGCTGGCTGGGCCTCAGTCCATGCTAGCATAAGATAGGGGTAAATCCTCTGACCCCAGCCTAATTCCTGGACATTGGTTGAGAAGCACAGGTGACAGTTAGCAGAGGGATCTTTGGAGTTCTCCTTGGGCAGCCCCAGCAGGGGGCCTCAGCATCAGAGGCCATGCAAATGGGAGGCTGTCTGGGGTGATGGAAAGAGTACAGGACAGACAGTCATCAAGTTGGGCTGTGGTCCAACTCGGCTTCCTGACCCACTAGATAATTTTTGAGGCTGGGCGCTGTGGCTCGCGCCTATAATCCCAGCACCCAAGGCAGGCAGATCACGAGGTCAAGATCAAGACCAGCTGGGACAACATGGTGAAATCCCATCTCTGCTAAAAATACAAAAATTAGTCAGGTGTGGTGGCGCATGCCTGTAGTCCCAGCTACTCGGGAGGCTGAGGTATAGGAGAATCACTTGAACCTGAGAGGCGGAGGTTGCAGTGAGCTGAGATCACGCCACTGCACTCCAGCCTGGGTGACAGAGCAAGACTCCATCTCAAGAAAAAAAGAAAGAAAGGAAGAAGGAAGGAAGAAAGAATTTGAGCTAGTTACTCTCTGCTAGTTATTGAGCTAGCTATTCCCTGAGGTGGGAGAATAGCTTGAACCCAGGAAGCAGAGATTGCAGTGAGCCAAGATCGCGCCACTGCACTCCAGCCTGTGAGGCAGAGCAAGACTCCATCTCAACAATAACAACGACAACAATAATATTATTATATAAACTTTCCTTCTTTGTACACTGGGGATTAATGGGGCTGACTGTTTCACTGGCTCTGGACACGCACTGAGAGCCTGTAGAGTGCCCACAGCAGTGCTGGCCACACCTCAAGGCCCCAGCGTCTTCAAGGGCCAGGCATGGCTGGAGACCAGCAGTGGGGAGGGGGCCGGGGGCAGCCCATGAGGTGGCTTGGAGATAGTGGCAGTGAGTGGTCAGTCCAGGGGGAGGGAAGGAGGATGGGCTTTAGGCTGTCAGGAGTGGGTGGGTGTGGGGGTTCTGTGTCGTCACAGAAAGCGATGGAAGGATAGAGAGCCCTGTGTGTTAAGCGCCCTTCCTCCCCCAAGATTGGACCCCTGGGGCTGTTCCCTGGGGTGCCGTCTTCTCCCTCAAGGCTTTTGATCTGCCTGCGGTGCTCAGGGCAGGTCCTTCTTGTGGCGATGGGGGTGTCATGCTCTTCCTGACCCCATCTATAGTGGCATCCGCCTCCCTCTCTCACCCAGTTCCACACCTGGCACACAGTGGCACTCCCAAAGGGCACAGGGGTCTCAGTGGCTGAGGGAGGTCGCTGCCTCCTGGGGAAAGGTTATTGATAATTGCCGTGACTGCTGGTGGGCCAGCCCTGCCATGCCTCTCCCTGCCGCGCCGCCTCTGCCGTCTCTTCCCATGCTGGCTTCAGACACTGGCGCCGATCCAGCCACACCCTGCTACTCTCTGCCCTCCAGACTGTGGATCCACTGTTTTTTCCTGCTCGGGGGGACCTCCTGAGAGTGTCTCCCAAATATGCAGCTCAACCTCTGAGGACTAATGGGTGGTGGATGAATGGATAGACAAGTAGATGGGTGAATAAATGAATGGATGGAGGAATGAATAAATACACAGGTGGATGAATGGATGGATGGATAGATGAATGTGTGGCTGGATGGATATATCTGTAGGTAGATAAATGAATGGGTGGGTGGGTGTATGAATGAATGGACGAATGAATACATGGATGTGTGGATGGAGAGACTGGTGAGTAGATGGGTAGGTGAATGGATGATAGATGAATGAATGCATGGATGGATGGATGGATGAATGAATACATGGACAGATGGATGGACGGATGGGTGAATGGTAGGATGGATGGATGGATGGATAGATGGGTGGATGGATGAATGGATACATGGATGGTTGGATAGATGGATGGGTAGATGGGTGGATGGGTGGATGAATACATGGATGGATGGAGGAATACATGGGATGATGAGCAGATGGGTGGATTAATGAATACATGAATGCATGGGTAGATGGGTGGATGGTGGGGTGGATGAATACGTGGATGGATGGATGGGTGAATGGATGAATTGATGGATGGATGGATGGATGGATGGGTAGATGGCGGATGGATGAATAAATACATGGATGATGGGTGGCAGTGGTGGGTGCATAGGTGGGAAGGTGGGTGGGCGGGAGGGCTGATGATCACTCGGGTGTAGAGGCCCAGGTTGAGCCTTCCCCCCACACAGTGCAAGGCCAGGGATGTCATTGTGTCTTCACTGCCTTTGCAGCTGCCTGCAGAACCAGCGAGTGCTGTTTTCAAGACCCGCCATATCCGGACGGAGACTCAGGTTCGGGGCAGCTCCTCGTGGTTCGCTGAGGATTATGCAGGGCTCTGCCTGATCCCATCCACAGCAGCCCCTCCCTCGGCCTTCTCCACCCAGCCACAGACCCGGCTCCAACCATGGTGTTGGGAGCCCCCACCCTACCCCCTGCTGACCCATTCTCACCAGGCCAGGTTCAGGGTGTCCTGGGGCAGCCAGCAGCCTCTCTGAACCTCATCCCTTCCCTAGCATGGTCTCAGGGCTGGTGCCTGTGTCTGTTCAGACTGGTCAGTACAATGGGGAAAAGTACCTGTTATAAGCATAACCCGATAAATTATTGGAACACTTATTTTATTTAGTTATTTTTGAGGCAGAGTCTTGCTCTGCTGCCCAGGCTGGAGTGCAGTGGTGTGATCTCAGCTCACGGCAACCTCTGCCTCCTGGGTTCAAGCCAGTCTCTGGGTTCAAGCCATCTTCCAGCCTCAGCCTCCCGAGTAGCTGGGATTACAGGCACCTGCCACCATGTCTGGCTAATGTTTGTATTTTTAGTAGAGACGGGGTTTCACCATGTTGGTCAGGCTGATCTCAAACTCCTGACCTCAAGTGATCCGCCCACCTCAGCCTCCCAAAGTGCTGGGGTTCCAGGCGTGAGCCACCCTGCCCGGCCTTACTGTTGGAACTTTATGCTCATAATGCACCCTGCAAAGGGTCTGACACTGACCAGACGCACTGTTCATTATTTTGTTTGATAGCGATTTACTGAGCACCTACTATGTGCAGACACAGTTCTAGACATAGGGACCTAGCCCTGAGCCCAGCTGACCTCCCAAGGTCACAGCCTAGTGGAAGAGATAGACAACAGGCCAACAAAGGTTTATACTGCATGTGATGATGCGTTAGGATTCGGAATAGGTTGAGGGAAGAGATGGCGGGAGACGAGGTGGGAAGGACCCAGGAAGTGTTTAGGCCAAGGTGACGCCGAAAGATGTAAGCATCATCAAGATTTGTCCTAGCAACGAAGACCCCTCCAGACTCTGGTCTGTTCCCAAGCCCACAGGATCTCTTCCAGGCTCAGCCTCCGGCCCCAAGGACCTGAGCTGCTATCGGATACCCAGCGCTGGTTATGAGTGCTCCTGGCAGTATGAGGGTCCCACGGCTGGGGTCAGCCACTTCTTGAGGTGCTGGTGAGGACCCCTCTCCCATTCCCAAACCCTCACCCACCACCCGACTCCTGCTCCAGCCCACTCTGGTGCCCCTGCTTTCAGATTTGTGATCTTGGCTGGCTCATCACTCCTTCCCAGGTTTCTGTCTCTCATCTAAGAAGAGAGGGTTCAAGGATTGTCGGGGTGGGGTGGGGTGCTCAGTGAGGGTAGGCATCCCAGGTGGGTGTCCATGAGGGCCTTTTGAGTCCTTCTTTCTTCTTCACTCTTTCACTTATCCATTCATTCATCCATTCATCCATCCATACATCCATCCACCCATCACCCATCCACCCACCCACCGACCCATCCATCCATGATCCATCCATCCATCCATCATTCATCCATCCACCCACCCATCCATCCATCATCCATCCATCCATCATCCATCCATCATCCATCCATCCATCCATTCACCCACCCATCCATCCATCATCCATCCGTCCATCCATCATTCATCCATCCATCCATCCGTCATCCATCCATCCATCCACCCACCCATCCATCCATCATCCATCCATCATCCATCCATCCATCATCCATCCATCCGTCATCCATCCATCCATCCACCCACCCATCCATCCATCATCCATCCATCATCCATCCATCCATCCATCCATCCATCCATCATCCACCCATCCATCCATCATCCATCTATCCATCCATCCATCCATTCATTTTTTTCTTTTTTTGGAGACAGAGTCTTGTGCTGTTGTCCAGGCTGGAGTGCAGTGGTGCGATCTCAGCTCACTGCAGCCTGTGCCTCCTGAGTTCAAGTGATTCTCCTGCCTCGGCCTCCTGAGTAGCTGCATATACAGGCTCACGCCACTGCGCTGGCTAATTTTTGTATTTTTAGTAGAGACAGGGTCTCACCATGTTGGGCAAGTTGGTCTCTAACTCCTGGCCTCAAGTGATACACCTGCCTTGGCCTCCCAAAGTGCTGGGATTCCAAGCGTGAGCCACCGCGCCCAGCCCTTTCATTTGTTTCTTCTCTCGTGGCGCAGTCCATGCTGGGAGATACTGGGATCCTTCAAATCCCCCCAGTCCCAGACTTATCTCCAAGGAACCCCAGGCTGGGGGAGGAGGTGTGCAAGGGGCAGAAAAGGATGCCGGGAGCGGTGGCTTATGCCTGGAATCCCAGCACTTTGGGAGGCTGAGGTGGGCGGATCACTTGAGGCCAGGAGTTAGAGACCAGCTTGGCCAACATGGTGAGACCCCATCTCTACTAAAAATACAAAAATTAGCCAGATGTGGTGGTGTGAGCCTGTAATCCCAGCTACTAGGGAGGCTGAGGTGGGAGAATTGCTTGAACCCGGGAGGTGGAGGTTGCAGTGAGCTGAGATTGCGCCACTGCACTCCAGCCTGAGTGGCAGAAAGAGACTCCATCTCGAGAAAATAAATAAATAAATAAATAAACGATGCTAGGATGTGATACACAAAGTTGGCTGTGGGGTCCACTAGGACCCCAGACTCGGTACTAACACCCTCTTTACTGCTGCAGCCTTAGCTCCGGGCGCTGTTGCTACTTTGCGGCAGGCTCAGCCACCCGGCTACGTTTCTCCGACCAGGCCAGGGTGCCTGTGCTCTGCACTGTTACACTCTGGGTGGAATCCCGGGCCAGGAACCAGACAGAGAAGTCTACTAGTGTGACCCTGCAGCTCTATAACTCAGGTCAGTACCTCGTTCTCCTCCCTGTCCCTTTTTTACCCAGAGAGGCCATCAGGCTGCAAAGCTGGAGCTGGAGGGGATTCTGGGCTCCTGGCAAGGGACTTGATACTATGATGCTACTAGCCATTGTCACTTCACATAGTATCACAAACTGTGACAAAGCAGTCTTTTAATTCTCCCTTACCAAGCCCCTATTACTGGGCACTTAGGTTCCTTCCGGTTTCTGCTATCCATAATGCTGCCAGGACCTGATTGGGTTCTTAATATCTGTTCTCATGACTATTTGGCTGGGCACGGTGGCTCACGCCTGTAATCCCAGCACTTTGGGAGGCCGAGGTGGGTGGATCACGAGGTCAGGAGATCAAAACTATCCTGGTTAACACGGTGAAACCCCATCTCTACTAAAAATACTAAAAATTAGCTGGTCGGGGTGGCATGCGCCTGTAGTCCCAGCTACTCAGGAGGCTGAGGCAGGAGAATCACTTGAACCTGGGAGGTGGAGGTTGCAGTGAGCCAAGATCACGCCACTGCACTCCAGCCTGGACTACAGAGCAAGACTCCATCTCAAAAAAGAAAAAAATATAGATTTTAGGTGTTCTTACCACATACCAATAAAGTAACTGCGGAAGATGATGAATATACATATATTATGTGTGCATACATATATGTGCGTGTGTGTGTATACATATACATATATATATATTTTTGTTTGTTTGTTTGTTTGTTTTTAAGGGATGAGGTCTTGCTATGTTGGCCAGGCTGGCCTCGAACTCCTGGGCTCAAATGATCCTCCTGCCTTGGCCTCTCAAAGTGCTGGGAATACAGGCATGGGCCACCGTGCCTGGCCATGGACATGTTAAATCGCTTACTGTAGTAATCATTTCACTATGGATATGTATATCAAACCATCTTACCTCTTAAATTTATACGATGATATAAAAAAGAATCAGGCCGGGCGTGGTGGCTCACGTCTGTAATCTCAGCACTCTGGGAGGCCGAGGCGGGTGGATCACGAGGTCAAGAGATCGAGACCATCCTGGTCAACATGGTGAAACCCCGTCTCTACTAAAAATACAAAAAATTAGCTGGGCATGGTGGCGCGTGCCTGTAATCCCAGCTACTCAGGAGGCTGAGGCAGGAGAATTGCCTGAACCCAGGAGGCGGAGGTTGCGGTGAGCCGAGATCGCGCCATTGCACTCCAGCCTGGGTAACAAGAGCGAAACTCCGTCTCAAAAAAACAAAACAAAACAAAACAAAACAAAACAAAACAAAATTAGCCGGGCACGGTGGCACGCACCTGTAATCCCAGCTACCTGGGAGGCTGAGACAGCAGAATGGCTTGAACCTGGGGGGGCAGAGGTTGCAGTTAGCTGGGATCATGCCATGGCACAGCCATGGAGTCTCAATCTGTCGCCCAGGCTGGAGTGCAGTGGCACAACCTCAGCTCCCTGCAACCTCCATCTCCCAAGTTCATGCCATTCTCCTGCCTCAGCCTTCCAAGTAGCTGGGATTACAGGCACCCACCACCATGCCTGGCTAATTTTTGTATTTTTAGTAGAGACAAGCTTTCATTATGTTGACCAGGCTGGTCTTGAACTCCCGACCTCAGGTGATCCGCCCGCCTCGGCCTCCCAAACTTCTGGGATTACAGGCGTGAGCCACCACACCCGGCCTTATTTTTGTTTTTAGAGACAAGGTCTCCCTCTGTCTCCTAGACTGGAGTGCATGATGCGATTAGGGCTCACTTCGGCCTTGAACTCCTAGGCTCAAGTGATCCTCCCACCTCAGTCTCCCAAGTAGCTGGAACCACAGTCATCAGCTACCAGGTCAAGCTAATTTCTATGCAGAGAATGCGGGGTTGTGGGGGGGGGTCTTGCTATGTTGCCCAGGCTGGTCTCGAACTCCTGGGCTCAAGCAAACTTCTTGCCTTGGCCTCTCCAAATACTGGAATGACAGGGTGAGCCACCGTGTGTGACTTGTGTATAAATCCTGACTTTTTGAACATAGAATTCCAGGCTTAACTGGGACCTGCAAGCTGTGCCCCAGTTCATATTTAGGAATTCAGTTGCTTACCCTGGGCTGGGTGGATTTTCAGGGCCATTAACTCACCTGTGTGTGGGCTGCCTGTCGCCAATCCCCACCTCTGCTTCCAGTTAGATACGAGCCTCCTCTGGGAGACATCAAGGTGTCCAAGTCGGCCGGGCAGCTGCGTCTGGAGTGGGAGACCCCAGACAGACAGGTTGGTGCTGAGGTGCAGTTCCGGCACCGGACACACAGCGGCCCGTGGACGTTGGTGAGTTTGTTTCCCAAGTCCATGGTGGGCACGGGCGTCTCCAGGGCACCTGCATCCCCAAATCAGTCTCACCATCTCTGTGTCTGTCACTCCTCCCAACCAGCCCCCACTCTAACCCCTGAGGTTTTTTTTGTTTCCTTAGATGGAGTCTTACTCTGTTGCTCGGGCTGGAGTGCAATGGCGCGATCTCAGCTCACCGCAACCTCTGCCTCCCGGGTTCAAGCGATTCTCCTGCCTCAGCCTCCCGAGTAGCTGGGACTACAGGTGCGCGCCACCACACCCAGATACTTTTTGTATTTTCAGTAGAGATGGGGTTTCACTGTGTTAGCCAAGATGGTCTAGATCTCCTGACCTCATGATCTACCCAGTTCTGCCTTCCAAAGTGCTGAGATTACAGGTGTGAACCACCACGCCTGGCCTTACTTTTTTTTTTTTTTTTTTTTTTTTTGAGACGGAGTTTCGCTCTTGTTACCCAGGCTGGAGTGCAATGGCACGATCTCGGCTCACCGCAACCTCCGCCTCCTGGGTTCAGGCAATTCTCCTGCCTCAGCCTCCTGAGTAGCTGGGATTACAGGCACGTGCCACCATGCCCAGCTAATTTTTTTGTATTTTTAGTAGAGACGGGGTTTCACCATGTTGACCAGGTTGGTCTCGATCTCTCGACCTTGTGATCCACCCGCCTCGGCCTCCCAAAGTGCTGGGATTACAGGCTTGAGCCACCGCGCCCGGCCTGGCCTTACTTTTTTAATCAAAAAAAATTTTTTTTTTTTTACTTTTTAATTTTTTTTTCAAAGATGGGGTTTCACCATGTTGGCCAGGCTGGTCTTGAACTCCTAACCTCAGGTGATCCGCCCACCTCGGCCTCCCAAGTGCTGAGATTACAGGCGTGAGCCACTGCGCCCGGCCCCCAAAAAATTTTATTTAAAAAAAAAAATGACTGGCCAGGCATGATGGCTCACGTCTGTAATCCCAGCACTTCGGAAGGCCAACGTGGGGTGGATCACTTGAGGCCAGGAGGTCGAAACCAGCCTGAGCAACCTAGTGAAATCCCGTTTCTACCAAAAATGCAAAAATTAGCTGAGTGTAATGGTGCACGCCTGTAGTCCCAGCTACCCGGGAGGCTGAGATGGGAGGATCACCCGAGCCCTGGGAGGTTGAGGCTTCAGTGAGCTGTGATTGCGCCACTGCACTCCAGCCTAGATGACAGAGTGAGACCCTGTCTCAGATAAATAATTTTAAATAAATAATTGTAAAACAGCAAATATTTTTCAGCACCAAAATGCAAACCAATATGTGTATACATTCTTATTCTAGGGTGACTGCGGACCTCAGGATGGTGATACTGGTGAGAATAATAATAGTAATGACAACAGCAGCTGCAGCAAGTTGGCATTAATTGAGCGCCTACTGTATGCCAGGCCCAATGCTGAGTTATTTGTGTGCCTCTTGCCCTGCCCCATAGTTCAGTATTGGATGACTCCCATTTTGCAGGTGGGGAAACAAATTAATACTTGGGCCGGGCGCGGTGGCTCACACCTGTAATCCCAGCACTTTCGGAGGCTGAGGCAGGCGGATCATCTGAGGCTGTGAGTTCGAGACCAGCCTGACCAACATGGAGAAACTCCGTCTCTACTTAAAATACAAAATTAGCCGGGCACGGTGGCGGGTGCCTGTAATCCCAGCTACTGGGGAGGCTGAGGCAGGAGGATGGCTTGAACCCAGGAGGCGGAGGTTGCAGTGAGCTGAGGTCATGCCACTGCACTCTAGCCTGGACAGCAAGAGTGAAACTCTGTCTAAAAAAAAAAAAAAAGGCTTGGAGAGGGTGAGAAGCCTTTGGCCAAGGTCATGACCCCAGAGATGGCCACGGCCAGGACTTGAATTCAGGGCAGGGATGGACGTGGGTGACCCTGGAGGCCATAAGACGACAGGGCCTGGCCTGTCCTTCTGAGTCCCCGGGGCCCAGCACGTGGCTCTGTACACAGTTGGAGTTCAAAAAGTGCATGATGGCTAAGTGACTGGTGCCAAGTCCTGGACAATTCTTTTTTTTTTTTTCTTTGAGATGGAGTTTCACTTTTGTTGCCCAGGCTGGAGTGCTGTGGTGCAATCTTAGCTCGCCGCAACCTCCGCCTCCCAGGTTCAAGCGATTCTCTTGCCTCAGCCTCCCAGGTGGCTGGGATTACAGGCTGCCACCACACCCGGCTAATTTTTGTATTTTCAGTAGAGACGGGGTTTCACTACATCGACCAGGCTGATCTCGAACTCCTGACCTCGTGATCCACCTGCCTCAGCCTCCCAAAGTGCTGGGATTACAGGCCTGAGCCACCGTGCCCGGCCCAGTGCTGGACAGTTCTTACAGCCTGATGTCCAACCTGCCTCTCCCCAGAGTCCTGTCTCTGCCCCCTGGAGATGAATGTGGCCCAGGAATTCCAGCTCCGAAGACGGTACCGGGAGAACCAGGGAAGTCTCTGGAGCAAGTGGAGCAGCCCTGTGTGCATTCCCCCCGGTAAGATCAGGCGTTAGAAATAAGGCCGCGGCCGGAGGTGGGGGTGCACCCCTGTAGTTCCAGCTGCTCAGGAGGCTGAGGTGGGAGGATCACTCGAGGCCAGTGATTTGAGACCAGCCTGGGCAACAGAGTGAGACCCCGTCTCTAAAAAATAAAATAAAAGGGGGGCTGGGCATGGTTGCTGATGCCTGTAATCCCAGCACTTTGGGAGGCTGAGGTGGGCGGGTCACTTGAGGTCAGGAGTTCGAGACCAGCCTGGCCAACATGGAGAAACCCCGTCTCTACTAAAAATACAAAAATTAGCTGGGCGCGGTGCGTGCCATTAGTCCCAGCTACTTGGGAGGCTGAGGCAGGAGAATCGCTTGAACCTGGGAGGCGGAGGTTGCAGTGAGCCGAGATCGCATAACTGCACTCCAGCCTGGGCCACAGAGTGACACTCCGCACCACCACCCTCTCCGCAACAGGAAATTACAGGTGGCAGTTATCCCTGGGGACGCGAATGGTGTTAATTTTTCTTTCTCCAGTTTTCTATCTTTCCTGCATCTGGGGCAGCGAGGGATTTTCACTTGGTGAATGTGGAGAATCCATTATTTACAAAAAGAAATCCGTCAGTCTTTCTCTCCTTTCTTCTTTTTCTTCCTTCTTCTTTTTTTTTTAAAGACAGGGTTTCACCATGTTGGTCAGGCTGGTCTTGAACTCCCGACCTCAGGTGATCCACCCGCCTTGGCCTCCAAAGTGCTTGGATTACAGGCGTGAGTCACCGCGCCCGGCCTCTTTCTCTACTTTCCATTTGTGTGGTTGATTTTGTTCTGATGCAGAAAACCCCCCACCACCTCAGGTGAGGTTCTCGGTGGAGCAGCTCGGCCGGGATGGCAGGAGGCGGCTGACTCTCAAAGAGCAGGTAATGGGGCTGTGACGGGGCTGTGACAGCGCTGTGGGGTGGCCTGGGATGGGGAGCAGGAGGCAGAAGGCTGGCGGTGGGGGTGCGGAATGAGCAAGTGGGAGATGGAGGGAGACGAGATGTAGAGACGGCGGGAAGTGGGCAGACTGTGGGTTTCATTCTGAAGGTAATAGGGAGCCATGGGATGTGTGTGAGCAGGGGAGGGACATGATGGGACTCAGATGTTCACAGGTTTTCTCTGGCTCCTGTGTGAGAAACAGACTGTGAGGATATTGCACAGAAGCCAGAAGGAGACAATGGTGACGCATCTGCCTGGGCAACAGATTATTGCTTTAAGTCCCAAAACAACCCATTAAATGCAGTCTGATGAGCCCCATTTTACAGAGAGGGAAACTGAGTCACAGAGGGACTGTCTCTGTTGAGACAAAACTGACAAATAGTCCATTCATTTGGCTGTACCATCGTCATCTTAACCCGGTCCCTAATTGGCTGTTGCTATAAGGCTGTAGCAAAAATCCTTGACTTCCTATGTTCCTTTAACTCAAATCCCTTTTTCTTTTTCTTTCTTTCTTTTTTTTTTTTTTTTGAGACGGAGTTTCGCTCTTGTTACCCAGGCTGGAGTGCAATGGCGCGATCTCGGCTCACCGCAACCTCCGCCTCCTGGGTTCAGGCAATTATTCTGCCTCAGCCTCCTGAGTAGCTGGGATTACAGGCACGTGCCACCATGCCCAGCTCATTTTTTGCATTTTTAGTAGAGACGGGGTTTCACCATGTTGACCAGGATGGTCTCGATCTCTTGACCTCGTGATCCACCCGCCTCAGCCTCCCAAAGTGCTGGGATGACTGGCTTGAGCCACCACGCCCGGCCCTCAAATTCCTTTTTCTAAGGAAACATTTTCTGACTTGAGGTAACTGGGTTAAAAGACGGAAACATTTTTGTTTTCCTGAGCCTCAGAAGGTTTTGTCAATTCCTCCTCGCCTACCCAGCTAGATGTGTGCTGGAGGTGAATGCCTGTTTCATAGCAGCTTTGCCAGCATTGAGGTTTATTATTTTTTTAAACTTTTGATGCATGTGATTGGCTGTGGCCTTTGGCCAAGTCTGTCCTCATAGGCTGTGTCCTGCTGTCTGCCCGTGGGACGCTGAGTGTGATGAGGTCCCCATGAGCTGTCTTTCATACTCACGACAGCCAACCCAGCTGGAGCTTCCAGAAGGCTGTCGAGGGCTGGCGTCTGGCGCCGAGGTCACCTACCGAGTGCGTCTCCACATGCTGTCCTGCCCCTGTAAGGCCAAGGCCACCAGGACCGTGCATCTGGGGAAAACGCTCAATCTCTCGGGTGCTGCCTACAACGTGACTGTCATCTCCTGGAACCGATTTGGTCCTGGCCCGAACCAGACGTGGCACATTCCTGCTGACACCCACACAGGTGCCTCCTCTGGGTGGGGAGGGCGGCATGAGGGCCCCTCAGAGCTGAGCACCTCCTCTGAGCCTCAGCTAGACCAGAATGAGATGAGTCAGGTGGGAAATTTGAAGAGAGTGCCTAATTTTAGGGGTATGTCAAAAATTCAGTAGTGGGTCGGGCGCGGTGGCTCATGCCTGTGATCCCAGCACTTTGGGAGGCCAAGGTGGGAGGCTCACCCAAGGTCTGGAGTTCAAGACTAGTCTGGCCAACGTGGTGAAACCCGGTCTCCACTAAAAATACAAAAATTAGCTGGGCATGGTGGCGCGTGCCTGTAATCCCAGCTACTCAGGAAGCTGAGGCAGGAGAATAGCTTGAACCCGGGAGGCGGAGGTTGCGGTGAGCCGAGATCGCACCATTGCACTCCAGCCTGGGTAACAGAAGAAGACCCTGTCTCTTATAAACCTTTTTTTTTTGAGAGGGAGTCTTGCTGTGTCACCAGGCGCCAGGCTGGAGTGCAGTGGCGTGACCTCGGCCCACCGCAACCCCCGCCTCCCGAGTTCAAGCAAGTCTCCTGCCTCAGCCTCCCGAGTAGCTGGGACTACAGGCACCACCACGCCCAGCTAATTTTTGTATTTTAGTAGAGATGGGGTTCCACTATGTTGGCCAAGGTAATCTCATTTCTTGACCTCGTGATCCGCCCGCCTTGGCCTCCCAAAGTGCTGGGATTACAGCCTTGAGCCACCGCGCCCACCCTGGTCCGCTATTATAGTGAGGTGGTGCCCGTAACGCTCTCAGCCTTGGCTTGGCACATGCAGGCGGCACTCAGCAAATGGTGGTTGCTATCCCCAGAACTGCCAGCAGTACCCGTCTCTCTGACATTCGTGCAGACGCCCTGGCGAGAGGGCGTGGGAAAGATCTGCCCAGGGACCGAGTGGGCGTGTGCTCGTGCTTCTGAGTCTGGCATGAGACTTCCTGTGGGGCCGGTCAGGCCAGGGAGGCCTGGTCTTGGATCATCACTGTCCGCCCAGGCGAGGCGAGCAGGTGGGCGGCCAGGTATCCGCCGCCGCCAGAGACGCTCGCCAGGCTGGACGTGGGCGTCCTGGCAGTACAGGAAGCCCTCACAGTGACTATCCTGGCAGGAAGACAGCAGTTAAGCTGGAGGAGGACTCAGCTCACTCAAACACCATCTGCTGACTGGGTGTGGTGGCTCACGCCTGTAATCCCAGCACTTTAGGAAGCCAAGGCAGGTGGATCACTGGAGTTCAGGAGTTCAAGACCAGCCTGGGCAACACCGTGAAACCCGGTCTCCACCAAAACAGAAAAACAAAATTAACCTGTAGTCTCAGCTACTCAGGAGGCTGAGGCAGGAGAATTGTCGGAACCAGGGAGGTGGGGGTTGCAGTGAGCTGAGATGGTGCCACTGTGCTCTAGCCTGGGTGACAGAGCAAGACTCCATCTCCAAAGAAAAAGGAAAAAAAAAAAAAACCAGGCTGGGTGTGGTGGCTCACGCTTGTAATCCCAGCTCTTTGGGAGGCCGAGGAGGGTGGATCATGAGGTCAGGAGTTCAAGACCAGCCTGGCCAAGATAGCGAAACCCCATCTCTACCAAAACTACAAAAATTAGCTGGGCCCGGTGGCAGGTGCCTGTAGTCCCAGTTACTCAGAAGGCTGAGGCAGGAGAATCACTTGAACTTGGGTGGCAGAGGTTGCAGTGAGCTGAGATCACGCCATTGCACTCCAGCCTGGGCCACAGAGCGAGACTCCATCTGAAAAAAAAAAAAAAAAAAAAAAAAAAAGGAAAAACAAAAAAACAAACACCATCTGCCACCCGCTTTGTGCCTGTCCCCCAGGGAGCCTCCAGGGCAGGGAAAGAGCCAAACACAGGCACCCCTGGCCCTGCAGGGTCAGAGTATAGACCAGCGCGTGAGAGGGAGGCAGTGGAGCCGGAGAAGTGGCTGGGGAGGGGGCGGCGACAGTCTCCACAGGTCCCTCCCCTCTCCTTCCAGAACCAGGGGCTCTGAACATCAGCGTCGGAACCAACGGGACTGCCATGTACTGGCCCGCCCGGGCTCGCAGCACGACCTACTGCATTGAGTGGCAGCCTGTGGGCCAGGATGGGAGCCTTGCCACCTGCCACCTGACTGCACCGCAGGACCCGGATCCGGCTGGAATGGGTACAGTGCCCGCCTCCGCCTCCGCGCCCTCCCTTTTAGCTCCTGGTGGGTTCAGACCTGCAAGGAAAGCACCTAGCGGGTGTCTAAGGCCCGGAGAGGTGTTGCCGCTTACTTGAGGTCACACAGAGGTAGGGACAGGGTGAGGTTTGGAGCCTTTCACCCATGGGGGTCTGGAAACTCCTGCTGGCATCCTGGACTCAGGTCTGGGCAGGTCTCAAAAGCCTGCAGGTAATGAATCTCACGTCCTTGCTGTTAAAAGTCATTAAGGGGCCAGGCGCGGTGGCTCAAGCCTGTAATCCCAGCACTTTGGGAGGCCGAGGCGGGCGGATCACGAGGTCAAGAGATCGAGACCATCCTGGTCAACACGGTGAAACCCCGTCTCTACTAAAAATACAAAAAATTAGCTGGGCATGGTGGCGCGTGCCTGTAATCCCAGCTACTCGGGAGGCTGAGGCAGGAGAATTGCCTGAACCCAGGAGGCGGAGGTTGCGGTGAGCCGAGATCGCACCATTGCACTCCAGCCTGGGTAACAAGAGCGAAACTCCGTCTCAAAAAACAGAAACAAACAAACAAACAAACAAACAAAAAAAGTCATTAAGGGGGTAAATAAACGAAGGAAAAAAATGAATCTCACATCCTAGGGTGTTGGTTAAATATTCAGTTGCACCAGGGAAGGTGGCAAATTAATGAGGAGTCTTTAGGGAAAGGGGGACTGTGGGGCTCCGGTGGCCTCTCACTCCCCTGCTTCCTGCCCTGGGCCTGGCGGAGTCCCCGGAAGTCTCAATGTCAGCCCGTTTCTTGAGAAATTCACAGCCTGAGGAGACAGAGCTGGACACAGAACCCCTGGCCCTTTGGGAGCGGTGGCTCACACCTATAAACCCAGCACTTTGGGAGGCCGAGGTGGGCGGATCACCTGATGTCAGGAGTTCGAGACCAGCCTGGCCAACATGGAGAAACCCCGTCTCTACTAAAAATATAAAAATTAGCCAGGAGTGGTGGCGTGTGCCTGTAGTCGCAGCTACTCAGGAGGCTGAGGCAGGAGAATCACTTGAACCCGGGAGGCGGAGGTTGCAGTGAGCTGAGATTGCACCACTGCACTCCAGCCTGGGTGACAGAGCAAGACTCCATCTCGAAAAAAAAACAAAAACAAAAAACAAAAAACAAAAAAAAAAAACCCTGGTTCCATGGACTAAGGGCTGTGTTAGAGGGGGATGGGAATAGGTTAGGGGAGTTGCACAGTGAAGAGATCCTGGAGGAGGGGATACTGGTGCAAGGGCTTTGAAGTATGAGTAGGAGTTTTCTGGGGGGTTCCTGGCAGGTGGCACAGCCAATGCAAAGGGGCAGAGATGGGAACACAATCTACCGAATGGCTTGACCTTTATTTATTCTTCCAGCAACCTACAGCTGGAGTCGAGAGTTTGGGGCGATGAAGCAGGAAAAGTGTTACTACATTACCATCTTGGCCTCTGCGCGCCCGGAGAAGCTCACCTTGTGGGCTACGGTTCTGTCTGCCTACCACTTTGGAGGCAATGGTAAGTGGCCCGGACCCACAGGTTTCCACTTTGTTTTTCTTTTTAAATAATTTTAAAAAAACAGAGGCCGGGTGCGGTGGCTCACGCCTGTCATCCCAGCACTTTGGGAGGCCGAGGCGGGCTGATCACCTGAGGTCAAGAGTTCGAAACCGGCCTGGCCAACATGGAGAAACCCCGTCTCTACTAAAAATACAAAAATTAGCCGGGTGTGGTGGTGGACGCCTGTCATCCCAGCTACTAGGGAGGCTGAGGCAGGAGGATCGCTTGAACCCAGGAGGCGGAGGTTGCAGTGAACTGAGATCACGCCACTGCCCTCCAGCCTGGGCGACAGAGCGAGACGTCGTCTCAAATAAATAAAATGAAATAGAGACAGGGTCTCGCTGTGTTGCCCAAGTTGGTCTCAAACTCATGGACTAAAGTCATCTGCCTGCCTCGGCCTCTCGAAGTGCTGGGATGACAGGCGTGAGTCCCCCCCGCCCGGCCTCCTCTGGCACCTTGGCGCTGACTGTGACAATGGTACCGGTTGCAGCCTCAGCGGCTGGGACGCCGCCGCACGTCTCGGTGAAGAATCACAGCTCCGACTCGGTGTCTGTGGACTGGGCGCCGTCCCTGCTGAGCACCTGTCCCGGCGTCCTGAAGGAGTATGTCGTCCGCTGCCGAGACGAAGACAGCAACCAGGTGTCCGGTACGTGAGGCAGTGCAGGCCTGGCTGGGGGAGGAAGGGAGGATCCTGGCCTGAGATCTCCCTTGCTGTGTGACCCTGGGCACCTTGCCGACCCTCTCTGGGCCTTGGTTACCTTACCCTTACCCAACAAGAGAATCGGACTTGAGGGTCTTCTCTTTTTTTTAATTCTAAATTTAGAGACAGGGACTCGCTCTGTGCCAGGCTGGAGTGCAGTGCCGCCATCACAGCTCACTGCAGCCTCAACCTCCTGGGCTCAAGCGATCCTCCCACCTCAGCCTCCCCAATAGCTGGAAGCACAGGTACACACCACTATTCACTGTTAGCGTTCTGTTTTCTGTAGACATGAGGGCTTGCTATGTTGCCTGGGCTGGGTTGTTTTTGTTTTGTTTTGCGTGTGCTTTTTTTTGAGACGGAGTTTCACTCTTGTCACCCAGGCTGGAGTGCAATGGCGCGATCTCGGCTCACCGCAACCTCCGCCTCCCGGGTTCAGGCAATTCTCCTGTCTCAGCCTCCCAAGTAGCTGGGATTACAGGACCCACCACCATGCCCAGCTAATTTTTGTATTTTCAGTAGAGATGGGGTTTCACCATGTTGACCAGGCTGGTCTTGAACTCATGACCTCAGGTAATCCACTTTGGCTTCCCAAAGTGTTGGGATGACGGGCGTGAGCCACCGCGCCCAGCTGAACTCAAGGGTCTTGATCACCCCTTGCAGAGCCTGGAGAAGGCTGGGTGGGCACCAGCCAAGTGCTTATGATGTGTTGGGTCTGCCCCTGGGAGGCGGCCTCTCACATGTAGCAGCAGCTCAACTCCCACCAAGCAGGGATGACCGTCTCCTTTCCACAGATGAGGAAACTGAGGCTTGGAGAGGGGATCTGACAGGGGATTTAGCTGGGAGGGTTCTCGGCTTTGCCCGGGAAGGAGTTCACGGGCAAGTCAGTGGTGTTAGAAACCTTTACTGAAGTGGTCATGTGCGGCAGCAGCAGAAGTCCCGCCCCTTGTCCTATTTAAACCCGCTTTTAATTATATGCAAATGAAGGGGCGGTTTATGCAGAAATAGCTAGGATGAGGGTGGTAACTTCCGAGCTGTGGGTTCATTGGCATGGACGGGGGTGGTACTTTCCGGGTGTTGCCATGGCAGTGATAAACCAACGTGGCACACTGGTGGCTGTGTCTTAACGGAAAGCCCGGGACGCGTTTTAGCTGGTCCTCAATTCCCTCCGGTGTCCCAGACCCCCCCTCCAGAGTCCAACCCTGCCTCCAACCTCAGATCCACCTGGCCGAAGATCAAATAAGCCGGTCAGGCGCGGTGGCTCACGCCTGTCATCCCAGCACTTTGGGAGGCCGAGGCGGGTGGATCACGAGGTCAGGAGATCAAGACCATCCAGGTCAACATGGTGAAACCCCGTCTCTACTAAAAATACAAAAAATTAGCTGGGCATGGTGGTGCGTGCCTGTAATCCCAGCTACTCAGGAGGCTGAGGCAGGAGAATTGCCTGAACCCAGGAGGCAGAGGTTGCGGTGAGCCAAGATCGCGCCATTGCACTCCAGCCTGGGTAACAAGAGCGAAACTCCGTCTCCAAAAAAAAAAAAAAAAAAAAAAAAGGCCAGGCGCTGGTGGCTCACACCTGTAATCCCAGCACTTTGGGAGGCTGAGGTGGGCGGATCACCCGAAGTCAGGAGTTCGAGACCAGCCTGACCAACAAGGTGAAACCCCGTCTGTACTAAGGATACAAAATTAGCTGGGTGTGGTGGCCTGCACCTGTAATCCCAGCTACTAGGGAGGCCGAGGCAGGAGAACGGCTTAAACTCGGGAGGCCGAGATTGCGCCACTGCACTCCAGCCTGAGCAACAAGACTCCCATCTCAAAAAAAAAAAAAAAAACAAAACCAGAGAAGAGATTTCAGCAAAATGCCCGTGGACCCGCGCCCCGCCCCCGCAGGCTGCGGCGGCCCAGCCTGGCCCCTGAGGAGTAATCGGGTCCCGGGACTCAGGGCGGCCTCCTCCACTGCAGAGCAGCGCGTGCCGCCCACGGAGACCCAGGTGACCCTCGGCGGCCTGCGGGCTGGCGTGGCTTACACAGCGCAGGTGCGCGCGGACACCGCGTGGCGGAGGGGGGCCTGGAGCCAGCCCCAGCGCTTCAGCATCGGTGAGTGGAGGGGGCGGGGCCCAGTTATCACCCCGCACGCACTGCCCTGCGCTTCCCCTAATGATCTTAGCGGCCCTGCCCTCACCCCCATTCCCCCCATGACTCCCTACTGCCCTCAGGAGGAAGTAGCGGCTCAACCTGCTCCCACTGCCTTTTCTCACAGCTTCCTCTTACACTCCAGGGGCCTTGCCCTCCCTCCTGTCTGGAATGCTTGTTTTCCCCACTGTCAAACTCCTATTCATCCTTCAAAACCCAGCTCAAAAGCTCCCTCCTCCAGCAAGCCTTCTCTGCCTCCTTCTGGCCACGCCCTCATCTACAACAGTTCCTCCTCCCTGGTCTGGCACCCCAGGGTTGGGGGGAGATGTGTCAAGGTATCTGGGGGCTCTTGGGGAGGAGAACGGTGCAGGTGACAAGTAAATGAATGTCTCTCTCAATGCAAAACTAAGGAGGACACAGACAAAGCCCAGCGAAGGGCTCATGCCTGTAGTCCCAGCACTTTGGGAGGCTGAGGCTGGAGGATTGCTTGAGCCCAGGAGTTCAAGACCAGACTGGACAACATGGTGAGACCCCATCTCTAAAAAAAAAAAAATTTTTTTTTTTTTTGAGACGGAGTTTCGCTCTTGTTACCCAGGCTGGAGTGCAATGGCGCGATCTCGGCTCACCGCAACCTCCGCCTCCTGGGTTCAGGCAATTCTCCTGCCTCAGCCTCCTGAGTAGCTGGGATTACAGGCATGTGCCACCATGCCCAGCTAATTGTTTGTATTTTTAGTAGAGACGGGGTTTTACCATGTTGACCAGGATGGTCTCGATCTCTTGACCTCGTGATCCACCCGCCTCGGCCTCCCAAAGTGCTGGGATTACAGGCGTGAGCCACCCCGCCCGGCTCTACAACAAATATTAAAAAAAAAAAAGCAGGGCGTGGTGGCGCACACCTGTAGTCTCAGCTACTCAGGAGGCTGAGGTGGTGGACGGCTTGAGCCCGGGAGTTCACCGTTGCACTGAGCTGTGACCCAACCACTGCACTCTGGCCTGGGCCACAGAGCAAGACTCTGTCTCGAAAAACAAATCGAAGAAATAGAGAAGAAAGAAGAAGAGGAAGAGGAGGGGGAGGGGAGGAGGAGCAGGAGGAAGGAGGAGGGGGGAGCGGGGGAGGGGGGAGGGGAGGGGGGAGGGGGAGGGGGGAGGGGGGAGGGGGAGGGGGAGAAGGTGGAGGGGGGAAGGGAGGAGGTGGAGGGGGACTGGGGGAGGAGGGAGAGTGGGAGGACGAGGAGGGGGAGGATGGGGAGGGAGGACGGGGAGGGGGGAGGGGGAGGAGGAGGGGGAGGAGGAGGACGACACAGGCTCTGCTGTCTGGGGTCCATGGTCATAAGAGATTCAGAAATCAAATGATCCCTGTTCACGCCATGGTGTCCTTTCAGTTCCAAGAGAACCAACTAGATCCCAGAGAGTGGCAGGGTCACGGCTGGCGTGTGGCCGCGGGCCTGGGTCCAGGGGCAGCCGCCTGTGCCCCATGTGCAGGCTCCTGGAATTACGGAGCCTTTTTTTTTTTTTTTTTTTTTAGGCAGATTTTTGCTCGTTGCCCAGGCTGGAGTGCAATGGCACGATCTTGGCTCACTGCAACCTCCGCCTCCTGGGTTCGAGCGAGTCTCTTGTCTGAGCCTCCTGAGTAGCTGGGATTACAGGCACCCACCACCACGCCTGGCTAAGTTTTGTATTTTTAGTAGGGACAGGTTTCTTTTTCTTTTTTAATTTTTTTTCTTTCTTTCTTTCTTTTTTTTTTTTCCCACTTGGGATCAGGTAGGCTAAGGCCAAAATGGGCATTAGCCTGGATTTCATCATGTTGGTTCAGGCTGATCTTGAACTCCTGACCTCAGGTGATCTGCCGGCCTCAGCCTCCCAAAGTGCTGGGATTACAGGCCTAAGTCACCGTGACCGGCCTGGAATTAGAGTCTTGAACACTTCCTGCATGCCAGGCCTTTATTCCTTGACAGCTACCAGGCAGGTGGGTTTCGAGGTCGCCCGCTGAGAAGCCCATGGCACGCGTGCCAGGGTCAGCAGCAAGTTGATGGAGAAACCCGCCCTCCAGCTCCCTCCCTGAGCAAGAGGCAGGCAGTGCCCCTCTGCCAACCTACACTCTCCCACCCCAGAAGCGCAGGGTTCTGATTGGTTCATCTTCGTCGCCTCCCTGGGGAGCTTCCTGAGCATCCTTCTCGTGGGCATCCTCGGTTACCTCAGCCTGAACAGGTAACGGACACCTTCTCCCGCCGTTACCATAGCGATGGTAATGATGCCAGGCAGGGGAGCCCTGAAGCGGAGCTTAACCCACTGACTGGGTTCTTGGCTTTGCCCAGGAAAGAATTCAAGGGCAAGCCACAGGTAGAAGAAAACAGCTTTACTGATGCAGCCGTTATAGCTCTGGGACTGTCTCTGCAGAGCAGGGCTTCCCCGGAGGCAGAGAGTAGCCACCGAGAACAGTTTTGCAGGCAAATCTATACTCACTTTTAATTGGATGCAGATGAAAGGGACAGTTGATGCAAAATTTCTTTTTTCTCTTCGTTTTTGAGGGAGAGTCTCACTCTGTCTTCCAGGCTGGAGTGCAGTGGCACGATCTCGGCTCACTGCAACCTCCGCCTCCTGGGTTCAAGCAATTCTCCTATCTCAGCCTCCCAAGTAGCTGGAACTACAGGTGTGTGCCACCACACCCAGCTTTTGTTTGTTTGTTTGCTTGTTTTGTATTTTAGTAGAGATAGGGTTTTGCCATGTTGGCCAGGCTGGCCTTGAACTCCTGACCTCAGGTGATCCTATGCAGAAATTTCTAGGGAAGAGGTCGTAACTTTTGGGTCTTTGGGTCATTGCCGTGGAAAGGGGTGGGGACACTGGTGGGCATGTCTGATTGAAAGCCGCTTTCAAGCCGGGCGTGCTGGCTCACACCTGTAATCCCAGCACTCTGAGAGACCAGCCTGGCCAACACGGCAAAACCTGTCTCTACTAAAAATACAAAAATTAGCCGGGGATGGTGGCAGGCATTTGTAATCCCAGCTACTTGGGAGGCTGAGGCAGGGGAATTGCTTGAACCTAGGAGGTGGAGGTTGCAGTGAGCTGAGATCTCGCCGCTGCACTCCAGCCTGGGCAGCAGAGCAAGATTCCAGCTCTAAAAAAAAAAGCACAGTTCCTCTGACCGGCCCCGTTTCCTCCCCAGAGCCGCACGGCACCTGTGCCCACCCTTGCCCACACCCTGTGCCAGCTCTGCCATTGAGTTTCCCGGAGGGAAGGAGGTAAGGACTCCTTTTCTAATTCTCAGTCTTTTTATTGGGCGCACACTCTAGGCAAGGGTCACACATTAGCTCATTTTATTCTACCTCAATCCACCCAGGTAAGGACTCCCAAACCAGTGCTCCAAACCCCTTCCCATTTTGAAGACAGGCAAGCAGAGGTCCATTCCCTGGCACTAGAAACAAAACTCAGAGTGTCTTCATTACAAAGCATACCTGATGGAAAAATCCCAAGGGAGTGGGCTTCAGATACGGCTGAATCCAGAGACTGGGGTCTGTCTCGTAGCTGCCCCTTTAGGGTTCTCCCCCAGCCAGGCTGAGCCTTCTCTGATCAGCAGCAGGGTGTCCATTCTTCCCATCAACTGGAGCAAAAGTCTCAGGGCCATCACCGATTGATCCAGTTTGGGTCACATGTCCTTCCCTGAGCCTATGGCTGGAACCAGAGAGGAAGGGAACGGTCTGATGGGCGGGCTGGGTCAGGGTGACCATTGCTATTGCTGAGGTGGGGTCGCTGCACTGCCGGCCACATCATCTGGGAAAAGAGGGGGGAGCTGGACATGGTGGCTCACGCCTGTAATCCCAGCACTTTGGGAGGCTGAGGCGGGTGGATCACGAGGTCAAGAGATCGAGACCATCCTGGTCAACATGGTGAAACCCCGTCTCTACTAAAAATACAAAAAATTAGCAGGGCGTGGTGGCGGGTGCCTGTAGTCCCAGCTACTCAGGAGGCTGAGGCAGGAGAATTGCCTGAACCCAGGAGGTGGAGGTTGCGGTGAGCCGAGATCGCGCCATTGCACTCCAGCCTGGGTGACAAGAGCGAAACTCCGTCTCAAAAAAAAAAAAAACAAAAACAAAAAAACTAGCTGGGCGTGGTGGTGCACGCCTGTAATCCCAGCTACTTGGGAGGCTGAGGCAGGAGAATCACTTGAGCCCGGGAGGCGGGGGTTGCAGGGAGCCGAGATCGCGCCACTGCACTCCAGCCTGGGCGACAGAGTGACTCTGTCTAAAAAAAAAAAAAAAAAAAAAAAGAAAGAAAAAAAAAGAAAAGAAGGAGGGAAATTTCCCAAAGAGAGCTGGGAGTGCCCTGAAGAGGTGCTGAATGGGGGTCACTGAGGCAGTCAAGTCTCCTCAGTCTCGGGAGATATACGTGTATATATATATTTTGTGAGATGGGGTCTTGCCTGTCGCCCATCCTGGAGTGCAGTGGCGCCATCTCTGCTCGCTGCCAACCTCCGTCTCCCAGGTTCAAGCAATTCTCCTGCCTCAGCCTCCCAAGTAGCTGGGACTACAGGTGCGCCACCACGCTCAGCTAACTTTTGTATTTTTAGTAGAGACGTGGTTTGGCCACGTTTGCCAGGCTGGTCTCAAACTGCTGACCTCAAGTGATCCCACACGTGCCTCAGCCTCCCAAAGCGCTGGGATGACAGTGTGAGTGAGCCTCTGCCCCCCGGCCAGGTCCCAGGGTTTTAGAGAATTGACCAGCAGCGACCTGCTCCGTTCCATCCTGCTGTGAATGGGAAGTAGAGGTCTGCTCACATCCCCGGCCCTCCCCCTCCCTCTGCAGACTTGGCAGTGGATCCACCCGGCGGACTTGCAGGAAGAGGCATCCTTGCAGGAAGCCCTGGTGGTGGAGCTGTCCTGGGACAAAGGCGGGGGCACTGAAGCTCTCGAGAAGACAGAGCAACCTGAGGGTGCCCCTGAGCTGGCCCTGGATACAGAGCTGTCCTTGGAGGATGGCGACAGGTGTAAGGCCAAGGTCCTGGGGCTCAGTGAGCCGGATGGTCAGAGGTGCTAGACACCCATCGCTCCTGGGAGATCCGGGCCTGGAGGCCTGCGGGAGAAACGGGAACGTCCCCTTGGTCTCACAGACAGGAAGAGCGACTATCTCCATCACGACGACTGGTTATTAAGTGCTCATGGCATACCCCAGCCCATTCCATCCACTCATGAGTCCCACCAAATCCCCACAGTCACCTCTTGCAAGGAACCATGGTGGTTCTGTTTCACAGACGTGATCTCCGAGGCTCCGAGAGGGTGAGTGACTCGCCTGAGGCTGCGCAGCACCCACAGGAGTCCAGTTTGGACCCAGAGAACCCAGAGCTCCTCCAGGCTCTAGCGCACCTGCCTCCTGCCTGCCCCGCGTCTGTCGTCACACGTCCGGCGGCCGCAACCCTAGAAGCTGCCGTGAAATGGAAGTGGCTGCACCCTGCTGGTCCTGGCCTCCGTGGGGCAGGAGCAGACCCTGCCGTTGACCTGTTCTGGAGTAGAATAGAGTGGGCATGGGGGCAAAGCGGGCTGAGATGGATCCCGGGAGCACTGGATGGGGAGTCTCGACTCAAGGGCTCCCTGCAGCCTTGCGGGTCTTGAAGCTTGGAGGATCCAGGCATATGGGAGAAGGGGCTGTAAACATTGTGGGGAAGACGGGCCTCCCACCCCATCCCCACCCCCCGATAAAATGGGGGTGATAATGAGCTTACAGAGCTGTTCAAAATCATCCTGAATGAGCCTCCTCTTAGGTGTTTTTTTTCCAGTTGAGGCGTGAACGTCCTACTCAAAACCTCCAAATAGGAGCCTGGGAATTCATTCATTCATTCATTCATTCATTCATTCCACATGTATTTATTAATCGCTTCCTCTGGGCCTCCCCCGGGAGCACCTAATCCTGGGGAGACAAAGCCAGATGAGAGCTCGGAACCCTGCTAAGTTAGGACTGAGGGGAAGGGAGGGCCCGGGGAGCGGAGCAGCCCGGCCCTCCCAAACGGGAGCTCCCTCCTCCTCCCACCCAGCAACTCAACAGCAGGACCTTTGCCCCACTTACACACCCAGTCCTCCCCCGTCCTGCTCACACCACCCCACCCACCCCACATCCTGCGGCCGCCGCCCCCTGATCTCCACTGGGGTCTGAGACGAAGTGTTGGGGGGCTCCTGAAACCCCGCCCCAGCCCCCGCGATGAGCAGGTGGGGGCCGCAGATTCCCCCCATGGCCACCAGGTGGCAGCAGCGGCTCGCGTCTCCCCCGGCCCGCCTCCCACCGCGTTTGCTGAACAGACTTCGCCGCTTTCAGACAGAGGCGGGGAATGAAGGCCCAGAACGACTGGATTTTATGGCAAAAAAGTTTGAGGCCTCCTGGGGAGAAACCCCTGGCAGCCAACAGGGCCAGGAGACGAGAGGCCCAGGCCCCGCCCCTTTGGTGGTGGGGAGCCTTGGTCTCCGCATAGATGCATCTAGACGGGGAAACCGAGGCCTGGGCCCCGGTGCCCCAGCCACACGGTGGCAGCTCAGAGTTCTGCAAGAGTCACCGCCCCACCCCGGGTCTGCCTCCAGCAGGCATGCCCCTCCCTTGAGCGTTTATCCTCCCTATTTAATTTAATTGATTGATTGATTTACTGAGATGGAGTCTCGCTAAATCCTCCCTATTTAATTTAATTAATTAATTGATTTACTGAGATGGAGTCTCGTTACCCAGGCTGGAGTGCAGTGGCGCGATCTCGGCTCACCGCAACCTCCACCTCCCGGGTTTAAGCGTTTCTCCTGCCTCAGCCTCCCGAGTAGCTGGGATTACAGGTGCTCACCACCACGCCCGGCTAAAATTTTTTTTTTTTTTTTTGTATTTTTAGTAGAGATGGCCTTTCACCATGTTGGCCAGGCTGGTCTCGAACTCCTGACCTCAAGTGATCCACCAGCCTCGACCTCCCAAAGTGCTGGGTTTGCAGGCGTGAGCCCCAGTGCCGGGCCTCTCCTCCCTATTTTTTTTTAGGGGGGCTCTCCTGGCTTTGGAGGAGGCCAGGTGGACAGAGAGAAAGGGATGCTGGATAAGGGGCCTCATGGGAGCCACCTGACCTTCAGGGACTCCAGGCAGCTAAGTGCTCACTTGCCGGCGGCCATCCAGTCCTGAGCCCACCCAGTGTTCTCAGACCTCGTTTGGGGGCCCCTAGAGCTGGCTGCAACCCCCCCCCCATGAGGAGTCCCTAGGGTGCGAGAAGTGGGAGACAGGCAATGTTTATCACACGCTAGCTGGGACTTTTGCCAGAGGGCACGGGGAAGATGCAGGACCCTGCTTCCACTAGCAGGAGGCTGAGCTGGGCAGAGGGAAGCCTGGAGCTGGGAGCCTCTTTCCTTCCCATTGTGGGGGCGCCTGCCTGCCAGAGGAGTCTGCAGGGAACACAGCAGCAGAGATGAAGTATTAGTTCCTGGATCCGGCCATGCCTGAAACCCAACATTTTACATCTGGTTCCTTTTTACTTTTTTTTTTTTTTTTTTTTTTTTTGAGACTAAGTCTCATTCTGTAATCCAGGCTGGAGTGCAGTGGCAAGCAATCTCGGCTCACTGCAACCTCTGCCCCTCGAGATTCAATCGATTCTCCTGCCTCAGCCTCCTGAGTAGCTGGGATTACAGCACCTGCCACCAAGCCCAGCTATTTTTTGTATTTTTAGTAGAGACGGGGTTTCACTATGTTGACCAGGATGGTCTCCATCTCTTGACCTCGTGATCCACCCGCCTCGGCCTCCCAAAGTGCTGGGATCACAGGTATGAGCCACCGCGCCCGGCTTCAGTTCCCTGTTGTGATGAAGCCACTTAGAATCCTTCTGCCCCTCGAACATGACCAGCAGGAGGTTCTCTTTGGTCCTCTGCTTGCCCCTCTATAAAACTGGAAGGGTCTTTATCTCAATGGGCTCAGCATGTTTGCTTAGCAGAGCCCTGGCCTGATATTTACTGAGCAACTACTATGCAACCATTACTCCAGGGCTCCTCAGAGCAGCCATGACTCAGCTTCTCGCAGCAGCCCCAGGGATCAGGACTGTGTTATGCCCCATTTCACAGCTCGGTTTCATTCATTCATTTAAGAAGTTAGAGTTGGCCGGGCACGGTGGCTCACGCCTGTAATCCCAGCACTTTGGGAGGCCGAGGCGGGTGGATCACAAGGTAGAGAGATCGAGACCATCCTGGTCAACATGGTGAAACCCCGTCTCTACTAAAAATACAAAACATTAGCTGGGCATGGTGGCGCGTGCCTGTAATCCCGGCTACTCGGGAGGCTGAGGCAGGAGAATTGCTTGAACCCAGGAGGCAGAGGTTGCTGTGAGCCGAGATCGCGCCATTGCACTCCAGCCTGGTGCCTGGTGACAGAGTGAGACTCAGTCTCCAAAAAAAAAAAAAAAAAAGTAATTAATAAAAAAGTGTACAGTTGAGACTGGGCATGGTGACTCACGCTTGAAATCCCACTGTTTTCAGAGCCCGAGGCAGGAGGATCACTTGAGCCCAGGAGGTTGAGGCTGCAGTGAACCGTGATTGCACCATTGCACTCCAGCCTGGGTGACAGAGAGGGACCCTGTCTAAAAAAAAAAAAAAAAAAAAAAAAAAAAAAGTACGATTCAGTGGTTTTTGTACAATCACAAGCCATCACTCATACCTAATTCTAGAACAGTTTTCTCTCCACAAAAAGAAAACCTCATTCCGTCAGCAGTCACCCCCCACCTCCCTCCCCCAGCCTCTTGCAGCGACTCCTCTGCTCCCGGGCTCTGTGAACCCGCCTGTTCTGGGCATTTCATGTCAAAGGAATCATACGATACGTGGCCTTTTTGTCTGTTCTTTGGTGAGAGAAACTCAGATGGTTTTGAAATCCATCCTCGTTACTGCGTGTATCAGGGCTCCCTTCTTTTTGATGGCTGAGTAGCAGTCTGTTGTGTGCCTGTGTCCCGATTTATTTATCCCCTCGGCCATCGATGGACGTTTGGGTGCATTCCAGCTCTCCGCCGCAGGGCAGGGCTGAGTGTTGGTGTACAAGTTTTGGCGTAAACACCTGTTTTCAGTTCTCTCCGTGGATACCTAGGAGCGGAATCACAGGGTCGTATGGTGATTCTATGTTTAACTTCTGGAGAAACTGCCGAACTTTTCCATACAGCGGCTGTACCATGTCACACGCCCTCCAGCGAGGCGTGAGGGTTCAAATTTCTCCACATCATCAACACTTTTACCCCTTCCTTCCTTCCTTCCAACCTTTCTTTCCTTCTTTCTCTTTCTTTCTGCCTTGCCTTGCCCTGCCTTGCCCTGCCCTGCCCTGCCCTGCCCTGCCCTGCCCTGCCCTGCCCTGCCCGGCCCTGATGGAGTCTTGCTCTGTCACCCAGACTGGAGTGCAATGGCGCGATCTCAGCTCACCACAACCTCCGCCTGCTGGGTTCAAGCTATTCTTCTGCCTCAGCCTCCTGAGTAGCTGGGATTACAGGCACGCGCCACCACGCCCAGCTAATTTTTTGTATTTTTAGTAGAGACGAGATTTTACCACGTTGGCCAGGCTGATCTCGAATATTTGGCCTCCCAAAATGCTGGGATTGTTATTTTTTACTTTTTTTTTTCTTCTTTTTTTTTTTTTTTTAAGAGACAGAGTCTCCTTCTGTTACTAGAGTGCAGTGATGCAATCATAGCTTGATGCAGCCTCGAACTCCTGAGTTCAAGCGATCCTCCGACTTCAGCCTCCCCTGTAGCTGGAACTATACAGGCACACACCACCACACCTGGCTAATTGTTAAATATTTTTTGTATAGACAAGATCTCACTATGTTGTCCAGGCTGGTCCTGAACTCCTGGGCTCAAGTGATCCTTCTGGCTCGCCCTCCCAAAGTGCTGGGTATTAGAGGTGTGAGCCCCCGTGCCTCGCGTCTCTCTCTCTCTCTCTCTCTCTCTTTTTTTTTTTTTTTTTTTTAAGACGGAGTTTCACTCTTGTTACCCAGGCTGGAGTGCAATGGCGCGATCTCGGCTCACCGCAACCTCCGCCTCCTGGGTTCAGGCAATTCTCCTGCCTCAGCCTCCTGAGTAGCACGTGCCACCATGCCCAGCTAGTTTTTGTATTTTT